GCCATTCTGAGATAATTTTTCAAGATTTTGAGAATGTTGCTTGATGAACTCAAATCATGTTGTGTCTTTCTCAGTACGTAATTCTGATACTTTTTCTTTCTGATGCGCCATTTGTAGTTTTAATCTATAAGAATGTAGCACTAATTTTTGAAATGCTCTACGAGAAGACTCATTTTTTGGAAGTATCCAAAACGGATTCAACTCAAACCAAATCCGTTGCATACTTTCAAGTGCATTGTGCTGTTCAGTGCTTTGCATACGGTTATGACTGCAATTTAATATTTTGCATCTGATAGTGACATAGATTAACTTTGTATAAGTTCAATTTATAGTGCGGAATTTATTTCTCAGAGTCTTCTAGTAAAGTCCCTCATATATTGTGAAAGTTCAAAAAACTCTTCGCCAAGAAATACACTTTGAATTTGATAATATTTATCAAAATTTGGAGTTGAGTAACTCCGAAATCATTTCTATGGTAACTTAAATGAAGAAAAAGCAGCGCGAAGCGAATTGAAGCGAACTTTGAGCTGTTTTACTAAGTATTTTTCAAAAAGGTAAAGTTCAAAGTTCCCATCTAATAATAACACAAAGAGTCTAAGGTCAAGATGAGCGATAAAGTTTGTGAGCAATAAGCTCATACGAGAATGAATAGCAATTATTGCCATCAACAAATGTAAATCTTTTTTGTGAATTCTTTTAGTGCAAAATATCCTTCATAAATGTATTAAAATGTGACTATCAATAAGCAATTAATTAATTAATTAATTAATTCACCAATTGATTAACTAACAATTAATTAATTAATTAATTAACTAATTCATTATCATATGAGCATGTATATACAGAAAGTACTGATCAGTTCGAGAATAAGAGCATAAACTGTGATTATTTATGAAAAAAGCAAAAAATAGAAAATCGCAAAAACTAAGCAGTAGTTTGTAATTACTGATAATAATCTTAATATTCGCGTTATCAATTCAAATGACTAACCTTTTGTAAGGGATGAATTTACATGGAAAAAACAAGAATAAACATGTAAGTGAAGTGGAAAATGATAAAAAGTAAAATAATTCAATTCGCACTGAATCACTCATTTCCAGCCAAGAAAACAACAATAACTGGTGATAAGATCAAAAACACTGATTATTTATTGACTCACTTTATAAAATGTGATGGCGAACGAATATCACATTATACAAAATTCAAGTAACACTTCAGACTTAATGTAGAAAAGCCACGCAAGAAGTTCTCAGAAACATCTCAAAAACTTACAAGACACTGTGAAATTCGCATGAAAGGAAATAAATAAATAGCGACTGGACAAAAAAATTATACTTTAGTTTCTGGACCATCATCAACTACATTTGTGAACTGCTTGAATGAATCACGTAATCTTAGTAGTTGACGAGCAACAAGTTGTCCGTATACTTTACCATACCAAACGTTACTTCTACCCCTAAAAATAAAAATACTTGTGGAAAAAATGCTATGACAATATATTTGAAATCAGCAAATAATTCAATTTGTATTTAAATTACGTGTAAGTATTTTTGATCTATAAAGATACAAATTTATTTTAAAAAATTAGTCAAACATAAACTTGACAAATTAATAGACTTTCAGACTTCAGCAAATAACTGCTGAACAATTTTATAATTGAAAGAAAAAATAATTAAATAATTCTGAGATTTAAGATTGATAGCAAATATCAATCACGATTACTGCAGTAAAATTATTACTGATGAGCTTACCTGAGGTCAGTTCTCGTAATATGAGTCACCCGAGAGCGACCCGCTATGGGTTCAACGAGAAACTGAGATGAAAATACCGCTACTGGTATACCACCTAGCAATTGCGTCTCACTGGAATGTACTGAACGCTCCACTAATACACATCCGCCACGTAATTCTTTCATATCTGATCGCCACAATCTTAAAATTTATTATTCCACTATGCAAATATCTTCTGATGAATTTAAAAAATAAGTAAAATTTTATCAAGTAAATCACAGCGTATGCATATTTCTATTGAATAACTTTCAGCAGATATATACCAAGTTATTTATATATTTTAATGTAAATTTTTGCCATTTTTGTAATTTTTCGATAATTTTTAGCATTAAAAAAATATCATCCAGTTACTTTTCGTAAAACCTTAAAATAATTAATATTTAAATCTTTTGAGAAGCTAAAATAAAATTACCAAATTTTACCTAACAACAATCGCATCACGTGTAGGATGCGATGGAGTATCATTGATAACATATTGGAAGACATCACAATTCTCAGCATTTAGTGGCGCAATAGTTCTCCAATTTATAATTTGTAAATCCCAAACATTCCTTTAATACAATAGGTAATTTATAGCAATAAGATTAAAATATATCATAATTATTATATCAAATTTCAGTATTTTACACTCATATCATAATAGCATCATAATTCTTGAAAAACAAACAGTATAATGTAAAAATGAAAACAGTATAAAGTAAAATGTACTCAATTTTTAAATGCTTTTATAAACTTTTTTTTTTTGATTTGATAGTTGTTGTAACAAATACTATTATAATACTAGATAATAATAATAATAATAATAGTAATAATAATAATAATAATATAAAATCATGAAAAATTTAAACAAGTACCTTTCTCGAATAATTCTTGAAAGAATCTCTTTTGGTGGCGCCTCGATATCTACCCAAACACGGAAGAATCGTAAAGGATGACCATCGTTAGGTTTCTTGGTAGAAATTTCAACTCCATTCATTGTACCTTCAACAATCCAACCTTTCCATCGATCACGATGTTCCTCAAAATTTTTAACATGAATTATTCATTTATAATTGCACATATATGAAAAAAAAATATCCTAATTGTAAAAATCATTCATGGTCAAAAGTTATTTTTTGAAAATATATAAAATTATTAGTAATTAAGGCATACTTTTAACAATTCTCTTGCTTTCTGTATTAGATAAGTCTTGTAATTGCCATCTTGAGATAAGCCCAATTCTGTAAGAAAAGGTGCATCTGGTTCAACACCTTTATAGTAATCAGTACTCTTATCTCGCTCAAACCCAGGACTGTGAGGAACAATGAATATTTTAGTACAGTATTCAATCATCTGTACTAAACATTCTTGAGCTGCCCGTGACTCTTTGATCTCTCGTTCAGTCGGTAAGCCTGCTGATCCAATCGTCTTGTGACGTCTAAAAAATATTACTTCACTTACACAATAACTATTCATCACTAAAACATTACAGAAGCAAAACTGGAAAGTCATTATCGAGAATAATTAACCTTGTAGGGCTAACACTACTTAGACGTGAGCCACACAACTGAAACAGTGAAGGTGCGAAACACACAGCAAGATTTTGTGCTGTCATCTAAAATAATTCGCCATTATTACTCAATAAAACGTGATATTTTAGTTCTTACAATAAAATCGATAGCATGTAAAAATTATAACTAAATGAAATTCAAGTTCGAACACATTAACTGCAAGTTTGAGGTAGAATCCTTAGAAATTAAGTAAGTCAAAATGGTACTGACACTGTTTGTAGCAGAATGTTTCGCGATGTCATGAAGAAAGTAAAGTAACGTTTGTAACGCTTCTCGATGCTCGTCCGGTAGTAACAAGACTGCATGTTGTAACGCTTCCATACGCAATTCTATGGGAATATCTACAAATAAATAACTCATTTCTACAATAATTACTATTACTGTCATAAATTATTTCAGTACAAATCAAGAAGTAAGTAAGTGATAAAAATTAAAAATTAGGAAAAAGTAATACAATGCAGTAAAGCATACGCATGAAAATTTTTGCAAAAGCTTCAGAATAGGTAGCAGTCATAAGTGGTTCAGGAAGTTCCCTGAAGTACTGCTTCAAAAGGTCAGCCACATCGTGCACCTTTATAATACAAATAACAGTTAATTTATAAATTTGCGTTAATTACATTTTAAAAATCAATTTAAACAAAGAAAAATGAAAAAAATCACTGCAATATATTTTTTGATCCTTGAAAACCATCTTTGTTCATATACTCATTTGAAGAGTGACATGGACTGACCTGCGAAGGGTCAAGACTTTTACTATCTGTGAAGACTTCTACTTCTGGAGCCACGTCACACATCATTCTTAATTCGCTAATTCTTGATCGTACGCCACTTTTTCTAAATATTCCAATAGTATCTGGAGCTGCAATGCGTAAAAAATGCATCATTTCCAGCACACAACGTGGAAGTGCATAACCTGAACGACTCTGAACAATTGCTAAATGAAGACCGAAAGTTGAAATTCCAGCTGAAAACAAAAACTTTTCCAAAATTCAAAAGTGAATTATCTCAAACTTTTGCAATTATTCTAACTTTGTGATTCCATTTTCTTTTTGAAATTAAACTGTAATACACTACCGAAATGCGATAAAAAATGAAATATCAGCTTGTGATCAAAGCTTTTTTATGATCAAATCGTAAAATATTGCTAATACTTGGAAATATTTGCTATATTTTTGTGGTATTCTACGTCTGCAAAACTAACATTTTATTAAAAAATATGCATTAATAATACAGCAGACAAAACTTACATCTGATTGGCTTGCTGTTGCCATTAATGGTATCGTTATTACACATTCTACGAATTAGCTTATGTACAGCCCAACTTTTGCTAACTCTTGCAGAATTGTTATTAGTTACCACACCAATTCTAATACCGTTTCCAGCATAAGTTTCAATCATTACTGATAACTTCAGAAATGCTAACTTTCTTATTTGCTGCTATAATTTAATAATTATATAGCATTATTTTTGAATTGTTGTGCATGAAACAATTCTAGAAAATGCAAATACTACTGATAACATTAATCAGTATAATTATTTTAGGAATAAAAATGACGTAAAATTAGTTCATCCAAAAAAATTTTTAAGTAACAATAAAAGTCTTTGCTAGTGTTTTTATTACTGCAATCATCACTATTATCACTAGTCGCATTAATACTACCTGCTATATATAATTGAAAATGGAAAGAATTTATGAATAAATGGTATAGATGGCAGCGAGAAGCAAAGTTTGTGTCAAGCAATTACTATCAAACTCAAACTGATATTTTGATGGGCTGATAAAAACGCAAACAAATAAATGCTAATGAAGAATTTGTTGCGCAAATGACAATAAAAATGCACCATTTCAGCGACACTCAAGGCATCCATACATTGAGGTAAATCGCTATCACTGATAAATGTTTCACTTTGATCAACACGAAAATTACTCAACGAGTTTAGCAATAAGTGCTTTGTTTTCATTTCTCGAACGTTTAATGCCGTAGCATTTGACGCAGGAAGTACTGAATTACGCTGTCGTTGTGTTGTCGGACCGCTAAAATTTAAATTTTTGAGATGAATAAGGAGATATTTTATTATATAAGCTCACAGGGATTACGAAATATTTACTGTAGAAAGGAAAAAATTTATTTGTATTGTAATAGCTAAATACATTAGTTTACAGAAAATTAAGTGCACACAAAAAGTAAACAAAAACAGCAGATATATTAGTGTGTGACTTGAAGTACGGAAGAAAACAACCACTGAATAGTACGAACCTTGGTGATCGAGAAAGACTGGAACCAACACCAGAATCTCTTCGTCCTCCAGCACCTGATCGATGTGCTTGACTTCCACTGAGGTCATCGTCATTTCCGCTACTTTCCAGACTAGAATGAGATCTCTGTCCAGAAATAGCCATTACTGTTGAATAAGGTGGCGAATCAATAGTAGCACCACAACCAAGTTTTTTTCGAGTTCGATTATCGATTTCAACCTTAAAGCGATAAGTTTTATTTAGCTTTAAACTTTGAATTAGTAAAAATGTACATTTTTAGAAGTAAAAGTAACGTAAAATTGAAATATTAAAAAAAATCTGCAAATAAATGAAAGGAACTTTGAAACGAGTTCCGTGATTCGAAATGCTTGCATTTGATGAAGATGAAGCTGGTGATAAGGCTCGGTGATAAGCAGTTGTGCTAGTTACATTCGTTCCTGAAGTAAAGATGGTAACATTAACTGATTTATCAACAACTGAAGTAAAGATTGATAGTAATAATTTAAAAGTTAATTAGTGTAATCTAAAATGCTGAAAAACTATGTTAAAAATTTTATCCACTACTTATCATGAAAATAAACCGCTCTCATAATTGCAAAACTGGATAAATCATAAAAATAATCGTAGGAATTGTTTTTATTAGTCATAAAATATATGCGTTTTGTTTGCCTTTTCCCTATAAATAGAAAATGCATTATGTGAGAAAATTGCTGAATAAATATCGAGTAATCAAATATAAAGTTAATCAAATAAAAAAGTAAGTAAACAACGAGAAAATAAATGGACAGACCATCCGAAGGAATATGTTCATAATAACCATCAGCATTTACTACTAATCTTGAACGTCCATAAGATTGCTCGGATGGCAGATTTCGATCTCGATCCACAGTTTGCCTCGTTGAACTTCTCAGTTCATCATAGTTTAATGAACTGTCAGAAAGGCCACTACCGGTAAATTGTACACCACTTCTAAAATTAACATTTACAAAATAAATTGATGTAATCAGTGAAAAAAAGATGGTACATTATCTTTTATGAACATTTTTTGGAATTGTCACGGCAAAAAAATTAAAATTTTATTGCTTCCGTTTTAAAACATCATGACAAATATGTTATAACTATACACGCATATATATGGTCATTTTACTCCATGATTTATCCAAAGACAGTTTACAAGTTATTGTAACATTTTTTAAAGAATTATTAGAGAAATAAGAGATGATAAAAACCTTAGTAAAGGTGAAAAGTTTGTATTATTTGGATAGCCTTGTTGCGATGAAGATGACCTCTCGTTGCGAACATTAACTAAAGAATGTCTATCATAGAATTCTGCGGGTATTATATCACGTCTTGAATCACCAACGTATTTTCTATTATCTGAGTATAAATCATCTTGAGCAACGCGATCATAAATTCGCGTATCTCGATCATAACGTGGTAAACCGCGCATTGACGCTGAGTCACAGGACAAATCACGTGGTTTACCGCGACGTAATAGTTTACGGCGTGAATCATTATTGAGAGCTGCAGCAGACGATGGTGAAGAATCAAGAATCATACCCATACGCCTATTACTAGCTCCCAAAAAACGTGTTCGCGTATGAGAAGCAGAAGATGATGACGTATTATTGTACTGTGATATCATTTGCTCTTGTTGTTGACGCCGAACACTCGGTTGCAGGACAGCAAAAGTTACTGTAATATTTAATTATTGTTTCCCATAAGTTTTCAATAAATAAATAAATGATAGATGTTTGGGAATACCTCAGACAGAAAAGTAATCAGAATGCATAATTTGTTGACTTTTCAATCTTAAATCTACTCATTAATTAGTGTAAGAAACAAAAATTAGCACTCAGAATTTTTGTTTTTTGCACAAAGGAATATGATCAAGTTTTTTTCAGAATTTGACAGCTTAATGACAAATTTTCCCAGCCGTGCAATCACGGATTAGTTTACTTTCTGGAAAACTCAAAAAGTTGCTTGCATCAGTCAGAGTGAGAGCAAACTTGTCACGACGATGGATTTGGTTAAGGATTTTTGCAAATCCTTTAATGCTGCTTAATTCGTTTTTGAAAACTTTTTGGACTTTTAAATATGAAAACAAAATAATACTCATACATAATTTAATGCAATAATGATTGAATCGAAAAAAATTTGAATCCAAAGAATTACCGCCATCAGAAGTATGTTGAGTTGTGGTTGCATCTTGCCGAAACTGATCTAACATTTGTGAAGTAACTGCTTGTGAAGAAAGTATGCTAGACAAGTCATCAGGAGGAAACATGCGCATTGTGCGTGGACTAGCGGAGAAATGAGAAACAAGTACGGGTTCACCAATTACTAAATCTCGAGATATATTCGAGATTTTCGATAATGATGAAGATGATGTAGCTGCTGTAGATAACGATGCACGTGGAATTCCGCTTGATGATGACGATGAAGATGCAGTCAGACCGGTTGCTGAAGCGTCCCGTTGACGACGACGTCTTAAATTAAATATGATAAATTAGTGATAATCATATAAGAAATGAACCGGATCTAGTAATCTTAATGCATATCATCGTTAATAATCATATTTATATCTCCATCTTTAGCTTTATTATTTTCCGAGAACTATAATTAACTTTGCCATTAATTATCATTTAACTGTGAAATGACATTGCGCAAATTTGTTATCATCCTTTATCAATTTACAAATAATAACATACTATTATTGCTTGCAAAATCTAGTTAAGATTGATGGCTTAATCGTAATTGAGGAATGAGATTAATAATTATATTGCAATTTCCTTCAAGTAATTAAATGTAATTCAATTTTTTAACTGATCATCAAAATCATTACTGCAATCACTGAATGAATTTTACAATAGCCCAATTTCGGATCAATTAAAAATTTTGATACGATGAATTATACAAGCATAAAAGTGAAATAAAGCGTTGATGAATAAATATTTGTCAAAATGTCTAATTAAATTAACCACAAATTAAGTGACTGTTTTCCACTGTACAATTTTAGGAATATTAATGAATTAAAAGGCAAATACAGAGTGCATATTAACAGCTGAGAGCGTAGACTTTTTCAGACCTATGAATAATTATTATAGAAAGCAGTTGAGCTGAGCTCACAATCGCTTGTAGCCATAAAATTGCGATATATTTTTTTCAGATATATTTTTTGAAAAATGAAAAACAATTACTAAACTACGAAAAATAAGTATGAGTAGACTTCTAAAAAATTGTCTTTAAATTAAACGATAGAACGAAAACAACTGCATCCAAAAAGGAGAATTTTTATAACGTTTAAAACTAATTCTTACCTGCTTAAAAAGCAGAAAAACAAACTTTTAAATCCAAAAAAAATCGAAATAAGAGAGGTCAAGTTTAAGTCAACAATAAAAAACTCATATATGAAAAAAAGCAAAATTACGTAACCAAAAATACTCATATATTTAGTGCCGAATACCTGCAAAAATACTCTTTATAAATATAAAATAATGAGTATTTTTGCCTGTGTAATATATCTATCTATATGTATTCAATTTCTTCACAAATATAGGAATTTCATAGAATTAAATTATTTGATTCCTAAAATTTTAAATTTTTTATTCATAAATCTTGAATAGGACTTAAACTTATGTTTTTACAAGCTTGTTGGAGAAAAAAATGATCGAAGCACCTGCTAGAGGATCGTATATCCATGCGTTTCATCAATGCCCGCGCACGTTCCTTTAATCGCTCACTTTGCGAACGTTGCAAATTTACAGCTGTGGTAGGTGTATTCGTCTCGGCACTAAATTAGAATCATAAAGAATGTCAAATTTTAAACTTGATCTGTTTTAATATCCAATTAAATTAAGCAAACTTTCCAGATTTCAAAAATTTGACATCTTTACCAAAAATGTGAGGAAATTTGCAGTTCCCTGTTTTTATCGTCCACCAATTCGTTGTTATTATCAAGAATTCATCAATTATTTTTTCAAGCTAGCATAAAAAATATATTGCTTCCAGCGTTGCAAGAAAGTTATCATTTTTAAATTCTCGTTAAACTTGAAAGCAAACCGATTTCGAGCATTTTTAGAAATAACTGGAGGCTGTTTAATTTTATCTTTGCACACGTTAGCCCTAAAATATGAAATGTTGCTGTCTTCTTGCTTTCTAGAATCACGTCCGTTACTTGACGTTATTTGAAAGACTTTATTAGTCTCAGCACTAGAAACATCTTTCTTATGTGGTGACCAATGATTTTTTGCTGAAATCATGTAGGAAATATTAATTTTATGTCACGTAAAATCACTCATTTTTTTCATCTGCTCTTTAATTCCTTATTATTACAATGTGCCCTCAAGCGCACAAAAAATTAAGTTAGTAAGTATCAAGTCTGGATAAATAATAAAATTGGAAGCAATGATATATATTATTGAAAGATGTAGGATGATAGAAGGTTTTAATATGTAATCAGAAAAGCAATATCAAAATCTGCAGATACGTAAATGTTATTGCATGATCTTACCACTGAATACATTCGTCATATCATCGTCATGCACAATTCTTGACCACGTTTGTGAGTTACGTTGATACCTCCATTTATTTGATATAGCAACCTGAAATCTTATTCCAAAAGTTATTATCATGAATATATTTTATTAATAATTACTGAACTCAATCAAATATTTAATCGAAGTTAAAAAATTTTCAATCAAAAATAGAGAATTTAATTAGTAATACATAATTCAAAATTGTATTTAAAACCATTAAGTTATCAAATTAATTAACTTATGAACAAAGCGATGATAACCGATATTAATTGAGAAAGTACTTATTGGAATACTTAAATAATATTTTTATAATAATTTTAAGATTACAATTAACCTGATCATCGTCATCATCATAATTACTGATTCTTATGTCTTCATCAATATCAGTTTCCAAAGGTCCTGTATAAAAGCGTTCTGGCTGAAAACTTGTTCATTGCTTTTTTTGTAATACAAAAATTGCCCAAAAAAAAATCTTTTCCAGTATTTAATTAGTCTTCGAATAATTGAAGAAATATCAAACATTAAAGAATGAAAATGTTCTAGCACTACTTCTACTTGAAAGTAAGACCACATTAAAACCAAATGATAGTTATTTTACTGTCAACAATAACTTTATCATTCAAATCATAATAAAAAAGTATTACATGTTTTCTGAGCACAACATTTTCAACTTTCATTATAGCACAGCGATTTAGAGCATTCAAACGCCGAAATAACGCTCGTAATGAGTCGTCGTCCAAAAATTCATGATCACGTTGAACAGAACGTATATCTATTGGAAATCGATGTTCTGCAATTTTAATATATCATTCCAAAGCATTGATTAACAAATGCAATCCAGAGCAGCGATAACTTTTGTATTTTCAAATAAAATTTGAAAAAGTTGATCAAAAATGGCGTTAATACTATACGTAATTACCGTTTAAAACTGCATTTCAGTTTGCAGATGCAAAATATTTTTATTTATATTTGCAAACTGCAATTGAAAATTCATAATTTCTGACAAAGAAGAATAAATAAATTATTAATATTTCTAAAGAGAAAAGCTTTCGATAATTTTATGCTTTAAAAATTTCAAAAAAGAGAACTTTTTCTCGATGCCATATTTTATTTTCACAATTTGCACTTAATATCAATTCATATCACAAAATTATTCTAGAAATAGAATACAACTCAAAATTAACCTTCATAAAGACGTGCATATTGTGGGAAACCTGCATACCGTAGCCATCGAACACATTCAAGTGCTTCTTCCTCTGAAATTTATTCACGCTAAATCAAATTTGAATTTTGAATTAAAGTTTTATTACAAACTAATCTACGCAACTTTTTATTTTTTATATTCAAAAGTTTTCTTCCAAAAAGTAAGAAAATTTTATACACAGAAAAAATTTTGCTTACAAAATTTAAACAGTCATCGAAATATTGGCAAACATTCCTTTTTTAAGGTCCAAATTTTCATTACTTTAATTAGTGATTTTTGTATAAAATTGCTACTTACTCATCAGTTTTTTTCACTTATAAGTAATTCTTTACCAATTTAATTATGACAATTAATAGAATCAACAAAAATTTAATCTGTGCTTTTCTTAATATTTCAGTTCATTTCTTCAAAACATTTTTGTATCATTTGAATACAGCCAGTTTATTTAGCAAAAATTCATACTTTCATTCACAATAAATTTTTGTGAATTTGAAAAATAATTGTCAATAATTAGCAAAAATTAAGTGTAAATTCGTAAAAAAATATAAAAACAAGAAAATCAATTATATTATATAAAAAAGACAAAAATATTAAAGGAAAATTTGTCGTAAAAAATGTAATTTCTCCTTCGTCACACTTTGTCGTCCTAACTTTAACTGAGCAAAAACATTTCAGACTAAATTTATCCGCTCAGAAATAACTTCCACTGACTGTGACTGTGACTGTGACTGTGACTGTGACT